TGGCTGTTGGTTGCTGGAGAGGATGTGTTCTGGTCTTTTTGTTTCCTTCTTAGCTTTTTTATTGTCTCTTTTGAATGGTGTCTAATTGTCTTTTATTTCTATGTGTCTACTGATGGTTGGGAAAAGATGTTGCCTCAGGTGTTAAAATAATAACACAACTTTGACTCTGTGTCTGTGTAGCTTTGAGAAAAACAAAACAATATGATTTCTGTCCATTTGTCCATTATATGTTTTTTGGTTTTCATCAAAAAATGGTTATGCAGGGATTGGATTTTGATGCCCCTTTGTAATGACAGAAAATCTTATATTTGAAAGAACTGTAGCATTTTTTCCTCTCAGAAGAAAAGATTGTAACAAACAGATGCAGTTATTTAGGGAAAAAAACAGATTTAATATTTGCTTGACATGTGCTAGCCAAAAGCAATGTTTTCTTTAAGTGTTACCTGAGAAAGAGAACAATCCTTTGAATGTCTTATGTTTGGGGGGTTTTTTGGTCTTCTATTTGGTATTTTAAAGCAAAATGTTTTTTTTCCCCTGTTGTCTTATACTCCCTCCCTCAAAATCCCTTAAATTCTTATATAGAAAATTATGGCTCTGAGCAATCCTGCTAGTAAAATAAGCACAGGAATAACATACGTATCAGGAAAATTAGCCCAACTTATACCTAGTTGCAATTTGTCAGGAACAGAATCTCAGGTGGGGATCCACAGAAACAGAATAAAACTGGATATCTGTCAGAAACAGTCAACACCATATAAATGTTCCAAAGGCAGTATTACTGTGATGAAACTAACTGAATGCAACTGAGATCTTCAACCAGACTCCTTTCCTGCTCCAGAGGATGAATGAAAATCAATTGGAATACAAGCATTAGGCAAGATCCAGCCAAACACTAGGAGCTACTTTGGTGTAGTGGTGAAAGCGCTGGGCTAGAAACCGGGGGACTGTGAGTTGCAGGCCTCCTTTAGGCATGACGGCCAGCTGGGTGACTTTGGGCCAGTCCTCTCTCTCAGCCCAACCCACCTCGCAGGGTTGTTGGGGGGAACATAGGAGGTGGAAGCATTAGGTATGGATGCTGCCTTGAGTTGACCAAAAATAAAGGCAGGATAAATCAAATAGACAAACTTACAATGGATACTGGAACTAATTCTTTTTAAAGTTTATACAGCAGGGATCTAACATGGTACTCAGAGCCGTGAAGGAGATGCGAGATCTGCTGGGATTGAAGGTTATATGAGCTGAGCCCATGAAGATGGCAATAATCAGTTATTAGCAGGTTGAACTTTTTTCGTCCACTCTAAAGTGTCCTCCCTCCCTCCTGAAACCGGACTTGGAAATCTGCTTTTCTGTCTGCCTCCAAAAGCCTGTGGATGTTTCTGTGGCGGAGAGGGGCTGCTGGACAGCTTTGCCACTCTCTGGCCCTACAGACCTGCATTACATAAGAAAGAAACCGGGAACTGGAAAAGCAAGAAAGCCACAAAAGCTTTCAAAAGTGATAAAAATCTTAATGTAGCTGCAGAACATTAGTCAGCCTTTTCTGTGGAAAGGAGGAAAAAAAAGTCTGCTTTCAGACAAAGCCAACCAGCTTTTATGTGTGCCTGTTTCGCTGAGCTCTCTTCCCCCCCCTCCCCCCCCGCCCTTCTCATAATGAAGATCCTATCTAAGCTCCAGGCCTGCCAACCAGCTGATCTACCCTACTACAAAGCAAAGTTGAGTTCCTTTGTATTTAATTTCTTTTCAGTTCTGGCTCCCATCCTTCTTTGTCCTACGGTTGTTTGAACGAAGCAGCTTTCTGCTACAGCAGCAACTATGGAGTAGCTTTTCCAGATGGCTTCTGATCTGGCTCACCTTGGAGAAAGATGCCCGAAAATGCCCAGGTCGGCTTGCTGTACAAAACCTTTGCACAGAACTTACAGGTTGTGGAAGGAGCCTCCCCACATGCCCCTCCAGGGATGACATATAGGAGGAACTGGCCCACGTGTGGTCTTGTGGTCCATTCATGTGGCTTCTCCATTAACACAGAGGTCCAGTGTTCAACAACAAAGCACCTGCAAGAGACTCTGAACAACAACATGGCCACTTTGAACTTTTGCTTCTTTTTCGGAAGGTGAAACAGCTCCACATAGAAATCATTGTTAGACAAACACAGAAGGCGTATTAAAGACTTCAGTTTAGGACAAGTTGTTGGATGTGAGCATTAGAATAACATTATGGCAAAGTTGGAGCCAGGCTTGGCCATATTCAGAGATGATACTTCAAAACCAAAAGGACTTAAGTCTGGTCCTCACTGAAAATGGTGATCTGCTTCCAGCATGGCTGGTTAGATGCTAGCAGGACAATGTGCTCTATGCCACTAAATAAAAACAGCATCCACAGCAGACACAGTAGATCCAGAAGCTTTGAAAACAATCTGCACACTCTGAAAACCCAGAAAGTGAGAGAGAAATGCATGTGTGCATCAAGCTCCTATTCATGTCCTTGGAGCTGGTGCAGGAAAACCATGGGTGTGTTATGAGTGTATTAATTGAATTTAGCTTCTTTTCTAACATGCAAAGTGCGCAGGAAGCAGCCCTATGAACATCTAGGATTGATAAAACATACTAAATTTCTATCCAGAATTTATGGAAGAGATGAAGTATTTCTGTAAGGGGTTAACTGGCCTTTAATGTCATAATGTAAGCATTTGGGAACCAGGGCACGCCTAAAGCTGCCTTGTAAAACCTTCTCTCTTCACCCCTAGCATTATTTTGGGTGGGAACGGGGCAATCTGACTAAAATGACAGAAGGTACGTTGTGAACATGCATCCAGAGAGGCCAAGAGCGGTAAAACTTTCCTGCCCGCCTAGGAACTATGATTCACGTTGCCCACGGCAGAAATAGATCGTGTTGTTCTTACTGGCTTCATCCTGCGCGAAGAGATGCGTCCCACGCCACCCTGTACATGCGTCGGGGCTAGGGATCAGGCGCAATCTCGGCCACAAGTCCCTTTTAACGGGCGCAGAAGTGGAGACGGCGTAAGAGGGCGGCAGGAACAGGGGAAAAGGAGAGCAATCACACGGGGAGCCTCACGTTGAATTCCCATCCAGCGGACGGCCACGAGGCGCTCGCACCGAAACCCGCCCACGAACGTGCGCCCAGGCGAGCTGAGAGGTGAGGCCAGGCGTGGGGTTGGGGGCGTGGCGGCTGGACTCCATTGGTTGTGCGGAGGAGGAAAGAGGCGGGGCGGAGCCTTTTCCAGGAACCGGGGGGCGGAGCTAGGGGAAGGCGGAGAAAAAGGTGTTGGAGAGGCGAGGCTGGGCAGAGCAGCCGCTGGCCGCAGTGGGGGACTCGCGGCGCTGCTTCGGAGCCCACTGCCTCGGTTCCCCTCGGCTTTTCTCGTTCCCGGCGGCATTCCTGCAGCTCTGCTCGCCTTCCCCGGAGCAGCTGCGATGCGCCTGATCCAGAACATGGGGACGATTGCCGAATACCCCCAGGCAGAAAACGCCACCAGCGGAGAGAACTGCGCGTCCGGACGCCCCCGACTCATCAAGATCGCTGTGGTGGGCGCCAGCGGGGTGGGCAAGACCGGTAAGTGTGGTGGGCGGCTGGTGGGGGAGGGAACCTTATTTTTTTCTTTGGGAGACGGAGGCCCCTCACTACGCCCCTTCCACCCCTACTTCGGTGGTTCACAAAGGAGATTCCTCCTCCAGCAGAAAAAGCCTTTCAAAGTTAAAAGGGAGCAAACAAACACCCCCGCTTTGTATTTGATTTCCAAAGGGGGGGGCGCAACATGGTAATTTGAATTAATATTAAACTGGATAGGAGGAGACGGCTCTAGCATTCTACCGCTGTTCCACACGCACCTGCTGCCAGATCGGGGATGGACACAGAAAGGCACAAAACAATACATTTAACCCCCCCCCCCCCCAAATATCTAGGCACATCCACTCCAGGCACACATCCGCTAGAGGTGATAGGCTGATTCTTACTGGGTCTTTAAGAGTTGGTTGAGGGGTGAGAAGCAAACTGCACCCCAGTCATCTCAGCCTCAAGTTTTAAGGCGAGAGAAAGCTGGAAGGAGCTAGGAGTTTAGATTTACCTGAACCTTCACACCCTGCAGCCAGGCTTTGGGGAGTTTTTCCTTGAAGGAAAAGTGCTGAACTGCTTTGGACACCTGATCTGCTGTCTGTTGCTTGCTGTTAGCAGTGCTGCTCTTTCCAGTCACACCTCCTCTGTTGGCCTGGGGTGGGGGGCAGCAGACAGGAATGGGGTCTAATGAGCCTTAAATTAGAGGCCACTTTTTCTCTTCTCTTGACAAATGGTATCTTTTTGTTAATTACAGCCCTGGTAGTGAGATTTCTCACAAAGCGATTCATTGGAGACTATGAACGCAACGCAGGTAAGAAATGGTCAGAAAGACTAGCTTTTTCTTAGGCAGTGCATTACAATGTAGTTTCACCCCTGGGAATAAAGTCTTTAGTACCTTGCTTCCAGAAAACTAAATGCTACAATACAATGAGCCAACAGAACATCACTTGGCAAACTGGCTTTGAAATCCTGAAACCTCCGTGAATGTGCTCACTGTTGGGGGGGGGGGCGGCATTCGTCATTATAGCAAGAGGACAAAGAGATTTCATACACAGCCTTACTTTATACCAGTCATTGATCATCTGGCTTTGAAGAAAAGCACTCTGCTATTTTGGGGCTCATTTCACGGGGAGCTGGGATGTCAAATCCCACAGCTTTGACTTCTGAAATCTTTTCCTTGGCTTCTGCCACCCACGTACATCAGCATAATGAAACACATTCCAAGTTAGAGGATGTGGCTTTTAGCTCTATCACTTAGTTCCGCTCCTATCTTTATGTGTAATCAAGGTATTTATGCAAATAGGCTTTGGGCTGAACTCTAAAGAGGTTTGTTGTTCTGAAAAGGCAGTCAAGCAGTCGAGCCCTTCTGAGAAACTGCAGGAAAGTAAATGATGGCAGGTGTGTGTGTGTGTGCGTAGTAATCCTCTCTAATGCAGATTAAACCAAAGGAAAAAGCTTTCAATATAGGGTAGA